CCTTCCTTCCTTCCTTCCTTCCTTCCTTCCTTCCTTCCTTCCCTCCCTCCCTCCCTCCCTCCCTCCCTCCCTCCCTCCCTCTGTTAAATAAATAAATACTGCTTTCTGGGTTCTACTAGCTGCATTGCTGAAGTAACAGGACCCATATCATACCACTCTTGTCAAATCTCAAAGGATGGGCAGAAATCATAGAGCAAGATGATCCTCTTTGTTCCTCACCTCCGCTTGTGGCTGGCTTGCTTCCTGCCCATGTCCCATCATTGACCTGAACCAGATGATATGATAAAGCAAGAGAGAAAATATTTTTCAGAATATGATACCTGCTAGGTTTATACCAATGTAAAGAACGCTGCAGTACGCGTAGGTAGAAAATGGTTTTGAAGCCTTAGTTCTCTTATCCTTTCCATCTAACAGATGTTGTTTCTCCCATCAATGCTGCCTGGAACAAGTTAAAAGATTGGGATGTCAGCCAGAAAAAAAATCAAGATCTGAAGTTGTGTGTTTTGATCACACCCCAACATGTAAGTTTTGAGATCGCGGTGTCCAAGAATCACCTCTTTCTTAAATGACACATTTTTAAAAGGAAAAAAAAACCCCATCAATTGTCTCCGGTAAATATAGGAAAGTCTTCAAGGAAAGGATTTCAACAGGGTTAGAATTTCATCAGATCTTTAGAAATTCACCTCCCCAATCCCCAAGGAAGATACACTTGGGGTGTGTGTGTGTGTGTGTGTGTGTGTGTGTTTGTATGTCAAATGTGTCAAAATGATCAACATGACCAAATAATCAATTTGAATCCTTGGTGCTCTCTGAGTTTAGTTGTTTTCTTGCAGATGATTCATTACCCAACTAGGTAACATGCTAGTGCTCCTTTCTAGAACTGAGATGTTAGTTGGGGATTGCTGGATGTTTATTATACTTGCCTTGTTAGTGTTTGTGGGAATCTGCTTTTCTTCACTCCTTGGTTCTTAGCAGCTCTTGGAATAATCAACTCTTGTCTCTATAACATGCACTGCATACCCTTAAGAAGAGGTGGGACTTTGATTGCCAGTAGCCAACAGCAGACAATATTGGTAGGTCAGGGCAGGGGTGGGCTTCAATTTTTTTTAGCAAAGGGTTCTCTGCCCAGTTGCTGGATGGGCATGGCCTAGTCGGCCTCCTTCACCATGGTGTGTGGGGGGGGAGTTTTTGCCTTCCCTGGGCTCCGGAGTCTTTTCTTGAGCCTCCGAAAGGGTGAAAACAGCCTCCCCGGGCTCCGGAGGGTCTCTGGAAGCTGTAAATGGGCCCATTTCCGGCCTTCTCGAACTTCTGGGAGGCCTGTATTTCACCTTTCCTGAGCATCCATGTGTGCCCTGCACTTACCTGTATCAAAAACGGGCTGCGTGGGGACTTCTGGGAGGGGCAGGTTGGGGTGGGTGGGGCCAGCCAGGAGTGGGATTTGGGGGGGGTTGTCCCAACTGCACAGAATCTTAGCTAGAGGATCTCCTGAACCCCTGCGAACCCCCAGCAGCCCACCCCTGGATGGAAGGCTGAGTTAAACTTGAGCTGGTTGTTGTGGCCCGTCAGTTGCCAGCAGAGGTAGCAGCAGACTCTGATGAGGAGGATGTTGAGGGAGAACCTGGGCCAGCTTCAGAGCCTTTGGAATGCTCTGATAAGGAACCAGCATCGGAGACAAAGACAGAGATGGGGCCTTCCATCCTCCCTCCTAAGTTGCATTAACAGAGGGATACAATCAAGATCAAGGGAGGTACTAATACCACTCTATCAAGCCTTAGGAAGACCACACCTACAGTACTGCATCCAATTTTGGTCACTACGTTATAAAAAAGATGTTGAGACTCTAGAAAAAGTGCAGAGAAGAGCAACCAGGATGATTAGGGGACTGGAGACTAAGGCATATGAAGAACGGTTGCAGGAACTGGGCATGGCTAGTCTAGTGAAGAGAAGGATCAGGGGAGACATGATAGCAGTCTTCCAATATTTGAGGGGCTGCCACAGAGAGGAGGAAGGGGTCAAGCTATTTTCTAAAGCGCCTGTAGGACAGACAAGGAATATTGGATGGAAACTGAACAAGGAGAGATTTAACCTGGAAATAAGGAGAAACTTTCTGACAATGAGAACCATCAGATACAGATAGTTGTATGTCAATCAACCAATGGAACAGCTTGCCATCACTTGAGAACTTCAAAAAGAGATTGGACTGCCATTTGTCAGAAATGGTGTAGGGTTTCCCGCTTGGGGGGGGGGTTGGACTAGATGACCTATAAGGTCCCTTCCAACTCTGATTATCTGTTATCTGTGGACAGGCAGCTCTCTTTGAGGCCTGAGCTGAGTGAGGGGGAGGAACGCCCATCATCCCACCCCTGGATGGAAGGCTGAGTTAAACTTGGGCTGGTTGTTGTGTACCGTTGGTTGCAGAATCTGGTGAGGAGGGTGTTGAGAAAGAACCCCAGGCCAGCTTCGGAGCCTTTGGAAGGCTCTGATAAGGAAACAGCATCAGAGAAAGAGACAGAGATGGGGCTTTCCATCCTCCCCCAGTTGGAGAGGGGCAGCTTTCTTCAGGGTCTGAGCTGAGTGAAGGGGAGGAACAGATGGGGTCCATCCCAGATGTGCATATGCACAGAGAAAAAAGGAGAGGAGAGCAAAAGAAAGCAATAAGCCGGCTCTCAGGGAGAAGCAGATGCAGACAATAGGTAGCCCCTCTCTGGCAGGAAAATAAATAGGAGTGGTTTGAGAGTGGCTGGTTATCCTAGACATCCATTTGTTTTCTAGTATACAGCAAGCAATTCAGATTCCTTGGCTAAACCCAGGTTTGTTGAGACTAATTACGTTTGATTTTTGGTTTATCCTTGTGAATAAAAGACAGAATCTTATCTAGGGGCTCCCCCAAACCCCTGCGAACCCCCAGAAGCCCACCCCTGGGTCAGGGTTGAAAATCAGGGGTCCTTGGTGCTCTCTGGGCTTGGTGGTTTCCTTGCAGATGCTCCATTACCCCACGAGATAGTGATAATGTTAGTGTTGCTAGCAGTGATAACATCACCTAGTTGGATGATGAAACGTCTGTAAGAAAACAGTGAAGCTCAGAGAGCACCCAGGATCTCTTATTTGATTGCTTGACCTCCTGTCTGACATCATTGGCTCTCTACCCCATGGACAATGTTGCTAGGATGGCAAATACTTTCTGACAGTGAGAGCAATCAACCAAATGGAACAGAAGTTGCCTTCGGAAGTTGTGGGAGCTTCATCCCTGGAAGCTTTCAAGAAGAAATTGGAGTGCCCTTTGTCAGAAATGGTGTAGGGTGTCCTTCTTGGGCGGGGTTAGACTAGAAGACTTACAAGGACCCTCCCAACTCTGTTAATCTGATAATTCTCACAGTGAGGGCCTTATTGAAGGTGTGTTGAGATTTGATACAGAAGCTACTCTCCACCATCTTCCTTTCTCTTAGGTGTTGGATGGACCCTGTGTGAAAATCTCCTGTGTTCCTGCGATAAAGCTGCAGCCGAATGCATGGCGGCAGCCCCGTTCAACGAAAGCTGGAGGTTGTCCAGCAGACAGGCTTGCCAAGAGGACAAACTGGCTTGCCGCTGGGCAGGGCGTGTGAGGCCTCCAAGTAGCCCTCCAAGAGGTGCCAGAACGTCAAGTGAAGAAGAAGAAAGTAGCAGCGAGGAGACAAATGCAGCTCCGCCCCTCTTGAGACGTGGAAAAAGAGCAATACAGAATGGCAGACGAAGGTCCAGAATAGTCCCATTGCAAACAAGATAATCTCCACTTCTCTGTCCAGCTACAGATCTACTACTGGCAGCGTTGCTCAAGAGGCATCCAGTAGTGTATCCTATATAGCTGGCCAGTCTTTTCTTAAAAGCCTTCAGGGATGAAGCACCCACAACTTCTGAAAACATAAGTGATTATGTCAGCGTTCCAAGTAACAAACTCCAACCCAGTAAACTCCAAGACAAGCATTTTTGTAAAGTTCCATTTTATTAGAGTTGTCATATTGGCACATCTGGGAAAACCTGAATCTGAGAGTTCTGGGCTTTCTCACCCAAAAGAGAAATCAAAGGTCCATCCCCTTCGCCCATCAGTCTATCACATGGTCCAAGCAATCTTCATCCCAACTGGAGACATCCCTCCAGTCACTCCCCTCCAGGTACAGGGCAACATGTCCTTGACTCTGTGAGAAAGAATGTTGTTGTGTCTAATCTTCTACCCCCTTATGAAATCCCTCCTCCCAAATTCCTAGGCACTGGATGTGGCAGTGTGGAAGCTTCTAAGTAAAATATGATTTCCAAAGCTGACAGATTAATTTGTTCTCAGATTTAGGGAATTTCTCCTTAATCCTAGCAACACTGTGGATCATCCATCAATGGAGGCTTTTAAGAAGAGACTGGACAACCACTAGCCTAGTATAGGGTCTCCTGCTTGAGCAGGGGGTTGGACTAGAAGACCTCCAAGGTCTCTTCCAACTCTGTGTTATCTTAGAAGAACAACAGGATGTAAATGTGGGAGATCTTCTATTTATAGGATGATCTATCTATATCTATCTACCTATCTACCTACCTACCGATCTATCTATATCACTAATCTATCTAATCTATCTATCTATCTATCTATCTATCTATCTATCTATCTATCTATCTATCTATCTATCTATCTATC